CTACGCCTCCTGCTACGCCTCCCCTGCTATGCCTCTCCTGCTACGCCTCCCCTGCTACGCCTCCCCTGCTACGCCTCCCCTGCTATGCCTCTCCTGCTACGCCTCCTGCTACGCCTCCCCTGATACGCCTCCCCTGATACTCTCCTGATACACCTCCCCTGCTACGCCTCCCCTGATACGCCTCCCCTGATACGCCTCCCCTCATACGCCTCTCCTGATACGCCTCCCCTGATACGCCTCCCCTGCTACGCCTCCCCTCATACGCCTCTCCTGATACGCCTCCCCTGCTACGCCTCTCCTGCTACGCCTCCCCTGATACGCCTCCCCTCATACGCCTCTCCTGATACGCCTCTCCTGCTACGCCTCCCCTGCTACGCCTCCCCTGATACGCCTCCCCTCATACGCCTCTCCTGATACGCCTCCCCTGCTACGCCTCCCCTGCTACGCCTCCCCTCATACTCCTCCCCTGCTACGCCTCCCCTCATACGCCTCCCCTCATACGCCTCCCCTGCTACGCCTCCCCTGATACGCCTCCCCTGCTACGCCTCCTGCTACGCCTCCCCTGATACACCTCCCCTGATACGCCTCCCCTGCTACGCCTCCCCTGCTACGCCTCCTGATACGCCTCCCCTGCTACGCCTCCTGCTACACCTCCCCTGATACACCTCCCCTGATACGCCTCCCCTGCTACGCCTCTCCTGCTACGCCTCCTGCTACGCCTCTCCTGCTACGCCTCCCCTGCTACGCCTCCCCTGCTACGCCTCCCCTGCTACGCCTCCTGATACGCCTCCCCTGCTACGCCTCCCCGATACGCCTCCCCTGCTACGCCTCTCCTGATACGCCTCTCCTGATACGCCTCCCCTGATACGCCTCCCCTGATACGCCTCCCCTGATACACCTCCCCTGATACGCCTCCCCTGATACGCCTCCCCTGATACGCCTCCCCTGATACGCCTCCCCTGCTACGCCTCTCCTGCTACGCCTCCTGCTACGCCTCTCCTGATACGCCTCCTGCTACGCCTCCCCTGATACACCTCCCCTGATACGCCTCCCCTGCTACGCCTCCCCTGCTACGCCTCCTGCTACGCCTCCCCTGCTACGCCTCCCCTGCTACGCCTCCTGCTACGCCTCCCCTGATACCCTCCCCTGATACGCCTCCCCTGCTACGCCTCTCCTGCTACGCCTCCTGCTACGCCTCCCCTGATACGCCTCTCCTGCTACGCCTCCTGCTACGCCTCCCCTGATACACCTCCCCTGATACGCCTCCCCTGCTACGCCTCCCCTGCTACACCTCCCCTGATACACCTCCCCTGATACGCCTCCCCTGCTACGCCTCCCCTGATACACCTCCCCTGATACGCCTCCCCTGCTACGCCTCCCCTGCTACGCCTCCTGCTACGCCTCTCCTGCTACGCCTCCTGCTACGCCTCCCCTGATACACCTCCCCTGATACGCCTCCCCTGCTACGCCTCTCCTGCTACGCCTCCTGCTACGCCTCTCCTGCTACAACCTCCTGCTACGCCTCCCCTGCTACGCCTCCTGCTACGCCTCTCCTGCTACGCCTCCTGCTACGCCTCCCCTGCTACGCCTCCCCTGATACGCCTCCCCTGCTACGCCTCCTGCTACGCCTCCTGCTACGCCTCCCCTGCTACGCCTCCTGCTACGCCTCCCCTGCTACGCCTCCTGCTACGCCTCCCCTGCTACGCCTCCTGCTACGCCTCCCCTGATACGCCTCCCCTGCTACGCCTCCTGCTACGCCTCCCCTGCTACGCCTCCCCTGCTACGCCTCCTGCTACGCCTTCCTGCTACGCCTCCTGCTACGCCTCCCCTGCTACGCCTCCTGCTACGCCTCTCCTGCTACGCCTCCTGCTACGCCTCCCCTGCTACGCCTCCCCTGCTACGCCTCCTGCTACGCCTCCCCTGATACGCCTCCCCTGATACGCCTCCCCTGCTACGCCTCCCCTGATACACCTCTCCTGATACGCCTCTCCTGATACGCCTCTCCTGATACGCCTCTCCTGATACGCCTCTCCTGATACGCCTCCCCTCATACGCCTCCCCTCATACGCCTCCCCTGCTACGCCTCCCCTGCTACGCCTCTCCTGATACGCCTCCCCTGATACGCCTCCCCTGCTACGCCTCCCCTGATACACCTCTCCTGATACGCCTCTCCTGATACGCCTCTCCTGATACTCCTCCCCTGAGACGCCTCCCCTGCTACGCCTCCCCTCATACGCCTCTCCTGAGACGCCTCCCCTGAGACGCCTCCTGATACGCCTCCCCTGCTACGCCTCCCCTGCTACGCCTCCCCTCATACTCCTCCCCTGCTACGCCTCCCCTCATACGCCTCCCCTCATACGCCTCCCCTCATACGCCTCCCCTGCTACGCCTCCCCTGATACGCCTCCCCTGCTACGCCTCCTGCTACGCCTCCCCTGATACACCTCCCCTGCTACGCCTCCCCTGCTACGCCTCCTGCTACGCCTCCCCTGCTACGGCTCCTGCTACGCCTCCCCTGCTACACCTCCCCTGCTACACCTCCCCTGCTACGCCTCTCCTGCTACGGCTCCTGCTACGCCTCCTGCTACGCCTCCCCTGCTACGCCTCTCCTGCTACGCCTCCTGCTACGCCTCCCCTGCTACGCCTCCCCTGCTACGCCTCCCCTGCTACGCCTCCTGCTACGCCTCCCCTGCTACGCCTCCCCTGCTACGCGTCCTGCTACGCCTCCCCTGATACGCCTCCCCTGATACTCTCCTGATACACCTCCCCTGCTACGCCTCTCCTGATACGCCTCCCCTGCTACGCCTCCCCTCATACGCCTCTCCTGATACGCCTCCCCTGAGACGCCTCCTGATACGCCTCCCCTCATACGCCTCCCCTGCTACGCCTCCCCTGCTACGCCTCCCCTCATACTCCTCCCCTGCTACGCCTCCCCTGATACGCCTCCCCTCATACGCCTCTCCTGATACGCCTCCCCTGCTACGCCTCCCCTCATACGCCTCTCCTGATACGCCTCCCCTCATACGCCTCCCCTGATACGCCTCCCCTCATACGCCTCTCCTGATACGCCTCCCCTGCTACGCCTCCCCTCATACGCCTCTCCTGATACGCCTCCCCTGAGACGCCTCCTGATACGCCTCCCCATACGCCTCCCCTGCTACGCCTCCCCTCTACGCCTCCCCTGCTACGCCTCTCCTGATACGCCTCCCCTCATACGGCCAGTAAGTTGCAAGTTTATGTCAACGTCTACGTCAAAAGTTCTGGAATCGTTTGGGAGAAAAACAAAGATTGTTAGAGCTGGGGGGAGGTCTTGGCGTCACCTGAGGTTCACTTTCTCAGTATCCCTCCCTTCGCTTGGTTTCTGCATGTTGGACCCTCCCAGTGCCCTCTTCTCCGCCACATCCATATTCTCCTCCTGGATGACCTCAGAAGTCCAGCGCCTTGCATGGATTCTGTGTGTCAGAAACTCCCGATCCACGAGCTGGAGATTATATATCTAAACTGCCACCAGAGACCCCTACTTGGATGTCGTATAGGCACAACCTTTAGCTAAAGCTGACTACTTTTCACCACCTCCGTTAACTCCACCAGCATCTCTTGCCTGGGTAGTTTAACATCCTCAGGCGGGGCGCGGTGGCTCACGCCTGTAATCCCAGCACTTTGGGAGGCCGAAGCGGGTGGATCACGAGGTCAAGAGATCGAGACCATCCTGGTCAACATGGTGAAACCCCATCTCTACTAAAAATACAAAAAATTAGCTGGGCATGGTGGCACGTGCCTGTAATCCCAGCTACTCAGGAGGCTGAGGCAGGAGAATTGGCTGAACCCAGGATGTGGAGCTTGCGGTGAGCCGAGATCGCGCCATTGCACTCCAGCCTGGGTAACAAGAGCGAAACTCCGCCCCCCCCCCCAAAAAAGAAAATAAATCCTCTAAATTAATTACCATCTTCCAGTGGCTTCCCATGTCTCTCGAGGTGAAAACCCAAGTCCTCACTATGGAGTACAAGGCTCTACATAAGTCATCTGTGCCTTGTTATTTTTCTGAATTCATCGCCTGTCTCTTTTCTCACCCCACTCCAACCAGAATAGAGACCTCTTGCTCTTTTTCAAACACACCAAACTTGTTTCCATTTCAGAGCTTCTGGGCTTGCTTCCCACTCTAGGATGACGTTCAGCCAGGTCTGTTCCCTCAGCTTATCCTGGCATTCACGGACATGGCATCTCCTCTGAAAGCCTGAGACCATCAGCACTTCCAAATCTGGTCTCCATCACTCCCTGTCCTCCACAGCACTGTCACTGCCTATCATTCTATCATGTGGTTTCTTGGTTTACAGACTGTTTCCCATGATAGATTGCAAGCTCCATGAGGGAGGTGACTTTTTCTTTTCCTGTTTACCACTTTAACTCCAGCACTTTGAACCCTTTTGGCACCGAGTGGATGCTCACTAATTATCTAATGAGACTCCTTCATCTGGGGAAGCTGGGGTCAGAGAGCCTCATGATCACACACTCGGTAGAGGTAGACCTGGTAGACTGACCACTGTACTACATCTTGTCATTAACTCTCTCTAAATACTTAATGATTTCTTTTTAATAATTGTTCCAACTTGTCTAATGATACTTAACAACCCTGTAAGGGAGGCTAAAAGAATGTAATATTTTGCCTATGAATGCGTCCAGTAAGTGAATTTAGTGACACATTATTAATACTAGCATTAATAATAATTTTTATGGGAATTGCATCTATTTAATCTAATTATTGCAGAGCAATAATTGTGCTCTGTTTAGAGGCTTGCTTTGGCCCAAAGTTTGGATTCTTCTTTCCTCAGGGAAGAAGAATGCATTTAGTATCACCAAGAGTGACGTATTGAGAAAAATACATTTAGTATCATCAGGAGTGATCGCAGAGAGTTCTAAGCCTCTTCATCCTCCACAGCTGCAGTATTAACTATGTCCAATAATTTTTCCATCCCCTAAGTTAAACACATGCTCCTTTCTTACCTTCCAGAATACTGAGCTCCACCTGTTGGGTGATCTCTGGATCTGGAAATCATCCTCATATTCCCACATTGAGGCGGTACAGTCCTCATAAAACTGGTGCAGGTAGGACCGGACTCCATAGCGCTGGTACCCACCCTCGGCTGCAGCCTGTGCCTGCCTGGACCCACACACGTTGCTGCAAGAACTCATCTTTCCCAGCTGGAATGACAACACCCACATGGATCAGTGCCACGGGCTTTGGCCTCAGGATCAAAAGACATAGGAAAGGTAAGAACCAGACTGAGTGATGTATGCCTAGTTGAACAATGCTCATTTCATTAGAGAAAACGTACTTTTAAAGACGCCTCTTTCTTAGAAGTGGCTCTTCTTTTTTGTTTAATGCAAACCTACCCTAACTACTTATGGCTAGAGCTGCATCTCCATAAATGAAATGAGACACAACAGCACAGCTCACATAAATTAGGTACACATTTAAGCATGAAGCATGCAAGAAATGACAACAAAGAAGCTGAGATTTTCATGGCCTTGACAAGAAATCTTTAATCTCTTAGAATCCAGTCACCTTTGCACTTACATGTTAAAGAATTGGGCAGGCTTTCTCATTTGCTGAAGATGGAGTTTGTCTTAAACTGTCCTCTCACATTTTTAACCATGTTTCCTTGTGAAATCTACACAGCGTTGCTCTTACCAGTTCGAAATTTTGCCTTCCAATCTCATGTATCTTCCTCTGACATTTTAACTAATTGTCAGGTTGTACAAAGCTTTGTTAAAAAGCTGCTGAGCAACTTATGCCTCATGCTTTGTTAATCACAAATAGCTTGGCCAATAATTTATACCTCACTAACTCTAATGCCATATATTTTAGTCATTATTTGTGGATACATCTGTCCATGTGGGTGGCTAGAATGTGGAGAGTGGACACAGTCTTTTATTATTTTCCAGGAAGTATGCAGTGTAAGTAAGAACTCAGAGAACTCTTAAATAAAACTATGTCCTGGGTAGGCTGCCCGGGGCTCTGCTTTTTTAAGATGGAAATTCCTACTTTATTTGATCTAATTGGTACCCTTAGAGAGAGGCATGTATATGGATTTTGTTACTAATCATGGTTTTGTTTCTTTTTTAAAAGAAAGAATTACTGAGGACAGTAATTTTGGTGAATAAGGGAATTGCCAGTTATCATCTGTACTTTCTGATCTCCGTATAAGCAAACAAATATACAGCTGAGCTGGAAATGTGAAATATGTGTTTGGATTTTTAAATTATCCTGTAGATAGATGAGAACACATAGACACAGGGAGGGGAACAAAAAACACCGGGGCCTGTTGAGGGGTGGGAGTTAGGGGAGGGAGAGCATTAGGACAAATACCTAATGCATGTGGGCTTAAAACTTAGGTAAGGCATTTAATGGGTGCAGCAAACCACCATGACACATATATACCTATGTGACAAACCTGCATGTTCTGCACTTGTATTTCAGAACTTAAAGTATAATATTAAAAAGTGGGAATAATAAAATAAGTATAAAATTCTGAAAGAACTCTTTAGTCCAGAATATAGCTGCCACATCATCGTTTGACTATAAATGAAGGTAATTATTTTTGTGTTTTCAAATAAATCATACTTCTCCCTGTAGATAGTTTTAGTCGTGTGGACATGGTCTGTAAGTGACAAAGTGAGCAACAACATAGAAGATTATTTTCCCATCAAACCAGGTTTTCTCAGAGCTTGTGCTATAATCCATGCCAACAGAGGCATATTAAATGTTTCCAATTACTTATGAAGCAACCAGCTAATAATGTTTATCTACAAAAGAAAAATAATGATCTACAGTCCCATCGAGTGCCTATGTGCGGCCACTTAGTTTGATTGGATAGAATTATGGGGCTAAAATCAAAGTTGGAACCAGGGATAGTTGGCAATTCCTTGTCCAGTGGGCACATAGTAAACACATGAGAACATCTTTAAATATGTGTCCTTAGCTACAAATGAATTTTGGTTAATAATGTAGTCAAATTGAGGAAAACATGACCCTGGTCTTAGAAAAATGATGCAGCAGGTGCTATTAATGGTGACCAGTAACCTAATACTTTTAGCTGTTGATCAGTTAAAACCAACTAACTGTTAGTGCCTGTGCTTTTTTCCTGTTTCAGGTATAGCTACCATATAAAGAAATCACCCAGGGAAAGAGCGCAGGGGGGCAAGAGTTTACACAGACACACACACACACACACACACACACACACACACACTTGCTTTTAAACATTTAGAAAGATGTGATTTCCAAAAAATCAAGATTTTTAGAATGTTCTTTGCCTGAGTGGAGCAGCAAAATCTGGCAGATCAAAGAATATTAACCTAGTTTTAATATATTAAGCACTAGGATGATCTCTCCAGTATCTTCTATTTAATGCTTATACAATGAAATGATTAACAAGACCCTATTACCATCGGCATATAAGTGGCATAATTTTAAATGCATTTTCCTTTAAGGCATTCTAATGCAAATTTCAGCTAAGGGGAGATGAGGTTGGTATTACTAACTCTGCTTTGCCAACTAGGAAACTGAGGCACAGAATAGTCATCTACTAAAGGTTACACCATGAGTCAGGGAACAGATGAAAAATGACAATTAATACAAGAAGCAGGAGTATGGACTGAATCATATATGTGCATAGTCAAACCGCCTCCTCCAAATATATATTTTCAGATTTTCTATAAAGCATCAGAGACTTTAACATGAAAAAGGGACAAAAATAGTTATGATAGGAATAAAAAAATCCCTCATAGCAACAGTGAGCGTTATTTTTCCTTAGATGCTGAAGTTGTTTTTTCTCAGGATGGAGCTTTGATTGCGTGATATATAATAGCCATTCCCTGCACAGCTTGCTTCTGGCACACCAGGTTAAATGTTTCTGCTTTATAAGATGAGACCCAGTTGTCCAACTTTGTTAAATACAATATGTAAGATCATAAAAGAGATAGAAAGTGTCATAAAACAAATGTTTTGAGCCTGAGTGATTGAAGGCTCTATTTGAAGTCATGGATTTTTAGCTATGTCAGCTACATTCCAGAAGGAATTCCAAAGAGCTTTACTTTCCCTTCCAGGGTCACAAAACATGAACAAGAACATGGCCCGTTTTGTGCTTCCTACACGGGGCAGAGAATAGACTCTAATGCCGGTTTTTGATCTACAACTTACTGGTCAGGAGATTTCAGACAAGCTCATTAGGCTTTCCGGGCTATGGTTTCATCATCCTTAAAGTAACAGGGCTGGCCCAGATTAATCTTAATTCCTTCCAGATGTTGCTTTTCGGGATTTTTTTGTGGGTCTGAACAGAATGACTCAATCATTTTTTATTGAACAAACTACTAGGTTTACTTATTTCCCACCTCCTTCTATATCCTCATTGACAGCTCAGTTTACTACTTTATATTAATATGTATGCAGCTTCCATTTAAAAAGGGCATATAACTAGTTAGGTTAGTTACTTGCTACTAGGTAGACTAAATGTATGTTGTTTGTTTAACAAGGTAGTTCCGTATCATGCATGTTGCCTAACATAGGATTCCCAAGGGTTTGAGAGGTGTCACACATCTTCCCAAACATACAACTATCTGGAATTCACTCCTAGGGAGAATAATTGGAAGAACATGAATTTTAAAATATAACATGTTAGAGTGATGGTTTTGGACCTACAAAATCTCAACAGAGAGTTACACATCTCCTAGGGAAGTCAGTAACTTTTTGTCCCACGTCAGAGAATGTTACAGTTATTTAGAATTTTATTTGATTGATGGGTACTTCTGATATTATAAAAAAGATATGTGAGATCACTTAAAAAAGGTCACTATAAAAATTGGGCAGTTACTAAATTTTATATAATAAAGTAGAATTGAGACAGAAACAGAAGCTATGTGCAAAGGCTTTACCTTGGCTCAATAGTTACTTAAAGATCAAGGTTTCATAAGAATTCTGATGTCTGTATTTCAGTTGCTGTAGTAGCAACAACAATAAGGTTAAATCTATGACTGTTGTTAATGAACAGATTTTAGAGGGCTTTCTTTCTTTACAGAAAGCTTCAACATCACAGGAAGTACATGGATAGAAGGGATGAGTAAACACACTCTTTAGTATTGTATTTAAATCAATCCACGTTAGTCTTCATTCTGTAAACACTCTATTGGAGCCTGTTGCATCCTCCCTGACAGTGTGGCCATGATGATGGGGCACAGGTAACTTCTGTGTGTGATTGTTTGGTTATCTATGAAGAGAGAGTTGTTTTTATTCTCTCTGAAGGATACTTCACTTGCTGATAAATGAGGATCCATCCATGGTTTTATTTTTATAAAATGTCCATAGCAACTGTCTCAATTGCATGCACAGTCATACATTAAATGAATATTCAGTTCTTACCAACTCAGCACACCTATCATAACCCAGAGACCAGTGGAGGGAAAAAAATTATGCTGCCACTCCCTACCAATTTCTGAGAGGCTTTCTGTGATCAGCCTATCTAAACATCAGCCTTCTATTAGTTTCTATACCCTTGTCTAGGTTAGTTTCTCTTCCTACCATCTTCCTAGCACTTGTTACTACCTGGTATTCTAAGTGTGGTTTATTTGCTTATGGTCTGATAGATCATATACATGATAGATTGTAAGCTACATGTAGGTAGAGACCTTTTCCTGTACTGTTTTTACCACTTGAATTTCCTATACTTTAAACTTTCCTTCAGAGTTCTACATGGCTTGATGTGGATGAAGGACTGAGTAGTCCTCCATTTTTCATTCTTCCCTTCCTTCAGTATTTTTAAGGCTCTGTGTGCCAGGCACCTGTGAGATAGATAATGGTTATGAAGATGAGTGGGGCAAAAACTCAGTGGACTCTTGGGTTACAAGGAGACAAACTCATGAAGCAATAAACATAACAAAATGGGCATCATTAAGAGGTATTTACAACAGAAGGGAGTACAAATGCTGAGAATCCCTTGAATAATTCCTTTATTAGGGAAATAAACCCATGCATGTGCTATTATGATATCACTATGTGTGCCAATAGCCTACAGTATCAATGTGTTGGAAATTTAAGCTTCAGTCTAATATATGCAGTTACTTTTTATTTCCTTTTTTAAATGTTCATAGCCTTGAAACAGAAATAAATCTTAATGCCTCATGAAACTCTAAGAACA